ATGGATGGATGGATGGATGGATGGATGGATGGATGGATGGATGGATGGATATATGTATGTATGTATGCATGTGAGTGTAAGTATGTGGTTGTCTGTGTGTGTATTCAGGTATGTATGCAAGTATTATGTATGTGTGTAAAGATGTAGGTGTATGAATGCATGTCTGTATGTATATATGTGTATGCATGTGAGTGTAAATGTGTGGCTGTGGGTGTCAGTACATGTGATTGTTTGTGTGTGTATGCATGCATGCATGTGTAGGTGTGTATGTATGGAATGAATGTATGTGTGTGCATTTATGTGTGTGTGTTTTCAGTCTGTGCATTTATGTCTATGTATGGGTGTGTGTTTTCTGTTTGTGTATGTATGTAGATGCGTGTATGTATGTATTAGGTATGTCTGTATATGAATGTGCATGTATGAGAATGTAAGAGTATATATACCTGTGTGTGAGTGTGTAAGATTGTGTACACATGATGCATTATTGATAACAGGCATTGGTACTCTGAAAAATGAATGCTTAGAAGGGCCGAATGTCAAACGGGCCTGCGTGCCCAATTTGTAACCCTTCGAAAATAAAGTTTGTTCGGTCGTTCGTTCGTTCGTTCGTTCGTTCCTTTACTTACTTTATTGGCCCCCACCCCCCCCCCCCCCCCTGCTCCGCACAACCCCCCTCTAGCTGAAGCTGTTCCACTTGCGTCGGGCGGGAGACAACTCGCAAGAACAGCTTCGTGAGGCCACTCAGTTGCTGACCCAGAAGAACAAACAAATCAAGGTAAGCGACACCTGGTGTCCTTTTCGGATTGTTATAATTTTTTATTTAGGGGGAGTTGTGGTGGAGAAACCCACTATCGCCGGGCCTAGCAAGCCGGCAGTGGCATAATTAAAGTTTACTTAATAAACGGTTGTGACATAAAAACAGAGGAGAAAAATAACCACCTGGGAAAAGCCACGTAATCTATCTATCTATCTATCTATCTATCTATCTATCTATCTATCTATCTATCTATCTATCTATCTATCTATCTATCTATCTATCTATCTATCTATCTATCTATCTATCTATCTATCTATCTATCTATCTATCTATCTATCTATCTATCTATCTATCTATCTATCTATCTATCTATCTATCTATCTATCTATCTATCTATCTATCTATCTATCTATCTATCTATCTATCTATCTATCTATCTATCTATCTATCTATCTATCTATCTATCTATCTATCTATCTATCTATCTATCTATGCCCGGCTCTCTAGCGAAGTTGGTTAAACCTGACTTTCGCGGCGGCCGGGTGACGAACTCCTTGTGGTCCGGGTTCACTCCCGGGGGTAGGCAGAAAAGCCACATTTCTCCCAGATTAACGGTACCTATAATGGAGTCAAGGCCGAAGGGTTGCGATATCCATAGTACCGAGCCAAAGGGTTTACAACTCATGGTTTCTGGATACGTAATAATAAAAAAAAATCTATCTATCTATCTATCTATCTATCTATCTATCTATCTATCTATCTATCTATCTATCTATCTATCTATCTATCTATCTATCTATCTATCTATCTATCTATCTATCTATCTATCTATCTATCTATCTATCTATCTATCGATCTATCTATCGATCTATCTATCGATCTATCTATCGATCTATCTATCGATCTATCTATCGATCTATCTATCGATCTATCTATCGATCTATCTATCGATCTATCTATCGATCTATCTATCGATCTATCTATCGATCGATCTATCGATCTATCTATCGATCGATCTATCTATCTATCTATCGATCTATCTATCTATCTATCTATCGATCTATCTATCTATCTATCTATCTATCTATCTATCTATCTATCTATCTATCTATCTATCTATCTATCTATCTATCTATCTATCTATCTATCTATCTATCTATCTATCTATCTATCTATCTATCTATCTATCTATCTATCTATCTATCTATCTATCTATCTATCTATCTATCTATCTATCTATCTATCTATCTATCTACCAACCAACCACCCCCCCCCCCCCCTTTTTTTTTTTTCAATAATTCTTAGGGCAGGAGAAATTTGTTGGGGGGTAGGGGATAAGGGGTCACCTAACTATGTAAAAGTAAAGATCCCTTTTCACGTCTTTAGGCGCACCGGACCTATAGGAAGAGCAGCCATATTTTTACAGACCAAATCGGTACTAGGTGGGTAATGTGGTCAGCATTACAACGACGTCTTTACTTCCCCGGGACATACATTCTGGTACCCATTTTAGGCTGTGTCGGCCTGCGACTCCCCATACCATGATACAAATCCACGCAGCAAGCAGTGGGTTTCGATATCGGCACGCTGGAATTACGAGTGGGACTCGCAACACCTGAGCCACGGACGCCGCCTTTAACTATAGGTGTTCTTTTTTTAAGTATACTTTGTTACCTTTTATTTATTTAAATGTTTTTTTCTAAAAAATTTTTATGGATAAAGTGTTTATATTTATTTGACATTCAGCACATTATTCGGCACACAAAATTAACTATTTCTACTACATATTGATATTATTACTGCCCACTTCGACAAGGCTTATGCTTCCTGAGGTACTCCCGCCCTGCTGAATAGTAAAAGTTACTAAGCCTTCTTATAATTTTCTACAGGGTGGCAACATTTTTTTTTAATTCTATGATTTGTTTGTAACTAAGCATCTTGTAGCATGTTCGAAACGTGTTGCTGCATGTGCGAAGCACCTTTCAGCCAGTGCGGAGCACCTTATTGCATGTTCGAAGCACCTTGTTGCATGTTCGAAGCCCCTGTTGCATGTGCGAAGCACCTTGTTGCAGGTGCGAAGCACCTTGTTGCATGTGCGAAGTAACTTGTTGCATGTGCGTAGCACCTTGTAGCCTGTGCGAAGAACCTTGTAGCCTGTGCGAAGCACCTTGTAGCCTGTACGAAGCACCTTTCTGAATGTGCGAAGCACCTTGATGCGTGTGCGAAGCACCTTGTTGCATGTGCGAAGCACCTTGTTGCATGTGCGAAGCACCTTGTTGCGTGTGCGAAGCACATTGTAACCTGTGCGAAGCACTTTGTAGCCTGTGCAAAGAACTTTGTAGCCTGTGCGAAGCACCTTGTAGCCTGTGAGAAGCACCTTTCTGAATGTGCGAAGCACCTTGTTGCGTGTGCGAAGCACCTTGCAGCCTGTGCGAAGCACCTTGTTGCATGTTCGAAGCACCATGAAGCCTGTGCGAAGCACCTTGTAGCCTGTGCGAAGCACCTTGTTGCATGTGCAAAGCACTTGTTGCATGTGCGAAGCACCTTGTTCTATATGCGAAGCACCTTGTTGCATGTGCGAAACAACTTGTTAATATGTGAAGCACCTTGCTGCACATGCGAAGCACTTTGCATGGAAAGGGCACTTATCATGTTTTTAACCAGTAGTAATCTCATCTGAAAGTTGACATGGACAACTCAATGTTGCAGGGTTTGTTGAGCGAGGTCAACATTCTACGGTTCGACATCAGTGAATGCAGACACGATTTTAATGAGGTCCTTAGAGAACTAAAAATCGCCAAGGAAGAAATAGCGAAACAAAAACGCCACACTGTGTTAGTATATTGTGTCCTGTTTGGCAGACTAATTTTATTAACTAGCTTACTGACTTTCTAAATGAATGTTTTTGTTTTCCCTGTTTCCAGAAAGTTTGATAAATCTGCGTCTCAAAAAGTCGTGTCCTGAATTCAAAGCCCAGGAACTCCGCTTAACCTCCTTCTTCTTTTCTTTCTGCCTGACAGTGGTTTTAATTAAGATTAGAAGGCAACATGCTTCTGTGAAGGCTCTGGTGGGACGCATGTCATCCAACAGCTTGCCTTCCACCAGAATGCCAACTGGTCAGACCTGAGTTCCTTCTAATGCATGCACAGAGCGTGTTTTCAACGACATGTTCAGTATTCTGTCGTGAGTTTTTTGAACATACGTCTGCAGGGTCTGTTGTGTCCATTTCGCAGTATGAAAACACTGACCTCTTGCTTGGAAGGTTGACTTGAGGTTTTAAGGTTGTGATTCTGAATGGGAAGTCTTCCAAGGGGTTTTAATGGTTGTCCTGATTTGGGTTTTATCCCTTCCCCCATCCGCCCTGGCTAACTGTTTCCTGTTGTTCTGTACTGCTCCCAGAGTAGCCTGGTCTGCCATTTCCAGTAAGGGTGCAGTGGTCTGAGATTCTACTGAAGGACAGCTGGTGATTCGGCAGAGATCGAAGCTTGTCGAAACGAAGTTTCTTATGGCGTTATTATGGCCTTTAGGCCATATTTATGGCCAGACTATATTGCGGCCCATGGCAAAAGCCAGAGTAGGGCTTCAAATAACGAAAAATGTCATCCTAAAAAGGACGAGAAGTATTTGATCATTCTGCAGCAGCATTCGCCGATTATAAATACGGACACCCCCACACCTTTTTTTTTTTTCATCATCAGTTCTCTTTTTGCCTTCTGGCACGTGAGGCTTCAGAGAGGACTTGCCATGCTTTCCTGTCCTGTGCAATCCTTAATGCAGCTTTCGCATTCAGGTCACTTTCCATCGTTCGTCTCCATGCTGTTTTTAGGCGCACCTTTTTTTCTCCTTACCTCTGGTATCCACGTGAGGGCTGTTTTTGGCAGGTACAGTAGAACCTCGCTTAACGAGCACCTCGCTTAACGAGCACCTCGCTTAACGAGCACCTCTAATAACGAGTAATTCGCATAACGAGCAAAACAAATTGTTAAAGAATGGCTCGCTTAGCCCGTGGACCAGCAAGTTATTTCTTCGAGCATTGTTTTCATGTGACTGAAGGGACCAAGCTCACGCTCAAAGAGTTTTGGAAAAAAAATCACTTCCACACCGTTGCCTGCCTCAAGATGATCGACAAGGCGGGGGAATGGGTTACCAAGAGAACCCTAACTTCTGCTTGGAAGAAGCTTTGACCAGAGAGCGTTGTCGATTTGTGACTTTGAGAAGTTCGACACAGTACCTGTGGAACCTGTAGTCAACGAGACTGTCTTTGGCCACAATCATGGGATTGTAGGTGGATAACAGTGATATCGAAGAGCTTGTGGAAGAGCACAGCCAAGAGCTGACCACTCAAGAGCTTATGGAGTTGCATTGTGTTTCACAGCAAGAAGTTTTGGAGGAAAATTTGTCAGAGGAGGAGGAGGAGGTAACAGAAAAGCAACAATCTTCTGACGAAACAAGAGAAATGCTAAAAGCATGGCAAACTGTTGCATCTTACATTGAGAACCATCCCCCCTAATAAGGAAGTGGCTATGCGCATTGCAAATTTTTAAAATTATATTGCTGTGTCGCATTTTCGCCAAATTTTGAAGCTTCGGCAAAAACAAATGTCTCTGGACATTAAGCTATGTAATTAGCTATGTATCATAATTATTTCGACTTTCTTTTTTCTGCAAATAGAATTCGCAATCCAGGTGGGTTCGTTCCGCAGTGGAAAAAAAAGCTAAAGATGATTTACTTTCCTTGACAATATGTATATGTTTCGTGTAGGAAGACATCACTCCTGTAAGGCGCCAATGGCCCACTTAGCATGGAGATCAACCTCTAAAGGAGTTATAATGGGCGTACCCGCAACTTCTACACCCATTTCTATGGCGGGAAAAAAGGGTGGGGTGGGGGCGATGCAAATAAATATGGTCTACTTAATTTGAAATTTTTTCTTAAATCATACGGAGCAGACAAAATAAAGACGACGATTGACTTTATTGCACCTGATTTTGTCCTATATGCGGCTCTGTGGCTTAGACGCGACTTATGACAGTCATTCTAAAACTGTGCGCCGCTGGGCCCCGGGGAGCCGCGACCTCTTAACATAGGCGTCGAGAAATATTTAAAGACACACGAGTTTTATTTATTAATTTATTTATTTTAAAAAAAATTAATTACTTACATACGAATAGTCATACTTTTACTTAGGTTAGAACGCCGTAGAAGTATTTTAATTGAAACAAAGGCGCCGCGACCAAGAAAAGTTTCGGAAACACTGACTTATGAGTTAAAAACCCACATCATAGCACTCAGAACATTCACATAAACGCTCCGTCCCCACGCTCGGCAGCAAGCGCAGAGTTCCAGTTCCTATCATATCCGTAACAGTTTTGATTGTGTGTCCGCCTTGTCCCTCCCCTAGCCAATGAGTGTCCGCCTTGCCCCTCCCTTGACCAATGAGTGTCTGCCTTGCCCCTCCCTTCACCAATGAGTGTCTGCCTTGCCCCTCCCCTGACCAATGAGTGTCCACCTTGCCCCCTCCCCTGACCAATGAGTGTCCGCCAGATCCCCTGGTCACTCCTTCCTGTACCAATCCCCTCAGACCGTAATGATCTGTTTGTGCCTCCACCCTGTCTACCCGCTCTTAAAGGGCCATTACAACGTTTAGCTGGCCATGCATCCATTTACCACCAAGTGGTTCAGAACCAGCAAATCTATCTTCTCTTTCATTTCCTAATACAACCGCATCGTTTAGAGACAATATCCAAAAGACGCAAATTAGCAGGGACTTCTGAAACTAGTCTTGCCACTCTGCCTGGAGCAAATCATCTCCAATTGTTTTTTTTTCCAGAGCGCAATATGAGTCAATTACAATGACGACGTATGTGTAGGTGTGTGTGTGTGTATCCGTGCGCCAGTTGAGGGCTACAGTGACCATTAGGCCACTTTGTAGGTTAGTGAATACCTTTGGTGGTTTCATAATGCTGCAGTACAAGAGTTTCGATCTCTGCGCTGGGCTGGCCTATAGCTCTAGGTCACTCCCGACCTTCACTTCTTCTCAGAATGTTAACCGAGACAAATTTACCTAGGGTCATCTGTGATCAAAGGTCAATTCTTCTTCTTCGCGTTCACCAGCTGTACACTCTGGTGGAAAGTTCTAGTTGTTCGTCCACTTCTGAACTGCAGTCCTGCTCCATAACCTGAGTGTTGCGTGTGCATCAGTTTTACAGATCTGATTCACTTGAATGCAGACTGTTGGTTCCTTGCCTCTCAGGCAGATGCACTCCGACTTCAAATGAAGCTCTCCAATTAGTCGACTCTTACGACATGCTTTTGTGTAGGCAGAGGGTCTATTCTTGTTTTCCCCACGATGGGGCCCCGCAACCCACACGGGGGATCCAATGTCAATTCTGATCCTTCAAAATATCCGACTGTATGTGGATTTGAACCCTAAACCTTCGGGCCTGCTTAAGCATTAAACCACTAGACTACTGCACTGTTTAAAATTTAATCTAATAAACATTGACTCCATTTTCCTCAGATTTTTCTTTGTTGTTTTGTTTTTGTCAGCAAAGACACTTGCCAGCACGCAACTAAGACCACCGACCTGAGCGTTAAGCCAGTCAATCAGAAAGATGGTTTTTCCGTCGAATGTTGTAGAACACATTTCAAGCTGCAGCCATTACATAATACCTTGCAACGCCAACGTCAGAACAGGGCAAGAAGACACGCCCAACATACGAGAAGAATTCCAGCTCAGGCAAACGAACTCACCTCTAGAAGGTATGTCTCTTCATCTACAGTAATACATTTTTAAGCATGTAATATAAAAACAGAAGATTAGGTCGTATTTCATGGAAACAAAAGCTATCAAATACAGAGGTACTGAGGAAATTGGGAATGAAAAGAGAGTTGCTAGGTGAAATAAAAAAAGAGACAAGTAAAATATTTTGGTCACATTAAAAGACATAACAGTATTGTAAAGATCATCCTAGAGGGAAAGGTTCAAGGTAGGCGAGTAAGAGGCAGACAGCGTTACATGTGGGAGGATAACATGAAGAGATGGACGAACAGCAGTATGAGTGAGTGTACATCAAGGGCAAGAGACAGGGCTTGTTGGAGATCCATTGCAGCCAACCTTCATTGTGGAGACGGCATCTGATTGATTGATAAAAACAGGGGTGAAAACAAGGGGTGACTGCAGTCAAGCTAATACCAAGAAGAAGAAAAAAAACCTCCCCCAAATCTTCTTCTTCTCTTTACGCATGGAATGACTCGCAGCAACAGTGCAGGAAGGCATCTCTGGAACTGATATTTCTATTGTCCATGACCTGCGTGGTCGACCTCTTGCTCTGTTACCGTTGTATCTGTATAACATTGTTATCTCGCCCCAATATGGGACGCAATTTGTGTGTGCTTATTTTAAAGCCTCACCCCAGCTATAGTTGGGAGCTCTAATATAACCTAACGGTTGAACAGGATTTATGGGACTTGTTACCTGGATGATTCTCATCCGAATAGTGGCACTTTGCGTCACCGGATGATTATAGCTCATAGTACCATCCTGGTAGGGTTGAACTTTATTAATTCAATACCAAGAAATTTATCAACTGAACTGTGATTAAAGACTGTTGGTTTCTTGCCTCTCAGGCAGCTGCACTCCGACTTCGAAAGGAAGTTCCTAATTAGTCGACTCTTACGACATTCTATTGGGTAGGCAGTGGGTCTGTTCTTGTTTTCCCTATAACAGGGCCCCGGGACCCACACGGGGGGTCCACAGTTCGAATCTTATACCATTGTCAGACTGTAATATGGGCAAAGATGGGTGGAAAATGTATGGATAGAAATAAATTTGGATCCAACAGAAAAGAATGTTTTTTACGGCGCTAGCAAATATGTTAAAGTCAACAGCGGCACACACATAAAGGAAACTGCTTCCGCCCCCCCCCCCTTTTTTTTTTCCTGAAAGTTAAAGGAAATTAAAACTAGTTTAAAACTTAGAAACGTTAAAGGCAAATTAGTAATGTGTATTGGAGCAGAATTAAACATGGACAACAGAGGGGAAAAGCAATTAATAATCAGCTTTAAACGTTCGTGTGTGTCTGTGCAGAGAAGAAGAAACTAAATGATGCGATGGTATGTGAGAATCACCATTGTGGAGTTTTGAGAGCGATCTAAATTACACTGAATAAAGAGGTCAGAGTGCTGCGTCCGTGGTTAAGGCGTTGCGAGTCTGACTCGTTATCCAACGTACCGCGATCGAAAACCACTGCGGGCTGCCTGCATTTTTATCATGGTGTGGGGCGTCGCAGGTCGACTCAGCCTCAAATGGGTACCAGGATGGCTGTCCTGTGGAAGTAAAGACGGCCGGCGTAATGCTGACCACACATTACCCACCGAGTGCCGATTGGTCTGTAAAAATATGGGTGCTCTTCCCATATGCCCGATGCGCTAAGGGCGTGTAAAGGGATCTTTACTTTTTTCAAGAGTTCAGAAATCTGTGATCAGCTGGCAATGATTTTGTCTTCCTTTCTTTCCCAGGCTGCTACCAGCCTTGAACCCATAAGTTGTAATTCCCGGGGTTTTCCTGGTTTCAAGGCTCGCTACAAACCCATCGATCCTCTCTCCCACCTCCCCTTTGTATCCCCCAAGAGATTGTTTTGGTTTATTAACATCATGGCACAAGGGTAGTAACTAACCCATAAGTGCTCCGTTCTACTTCCAACTCAGTCTGAGTCCTAAGAATCTGTGCGCGAACTTCGTAGCACCGGCGAGGATCTTGAAATACTTTGTTAAACTCCAAATGCTGCGCTGTTAGGCTACTCTTTTTAATTTCCAACTGTCAAGGGATTTTTTTTACCAGCACAACATTACACAAGGGCATGCGATCTTACCACCGCAGAGACCAGGCGAAATTACTAGAGGTCCACGTGAAAATAAATCCCAGCCTTTACCAGGGTTCGAACCCGAGATCTCCAGCTTTCGAAGCGGACGCCAAGCATTAAAAATACTCAGCCGTTCCCCCAAAAGAGAAAAACTATAAAGTGACAAACTACGAATTATAATGCACTTATCTACCTAATCTTGGGGGAGAAAAAAAATTGGGGGGGGGGGGGGGAGTAACAGACCACTAGTACAGCAGTTTCCACCTCATTGTGATCTGTATATCTATTTTTCAGTTGTGATTTACCGAGCCTGTGACACGACTGGCCCCAGATTGTCACCCAGACTTCTACTTTAGTAGATGAAAGTGCTACGTTTAAATCTAAAACTACTACTGTGCTACCACGTCGTCACACAAAGCCCACATAGAATGACGATGACTACTTAGTTAAGCTATACTAAATGACACAATTTTATTCTTATGCATTTCTTTTTTATATTATTACTGTCTGTGTGGAGATGCAATGTTGTAATTTTTTTTAGAACGATGACTGAAGTAACTGACATACAGTCTGGTTTAATATTTTGTCATGTTTTACTGTGACTAGTGGCAGAGATACAGTATAGTGTAAAATATTTTGTCCTGTTTTACTGTGACTAGTGGCAGAGATACAGTAGTTTGTCAGTAGAACATGACAAACTATTACACTATAACTACATGACAAACTATTATAGTGTAATAGTTTGTTATGTTCTACTGTGACGACTACAGTGGTGGGGTTACAGTATAGTGTAATATTTTGTCTTGTTTTACTGTGACGACTACAGTGGTGAGAATACAATATAGTTTTAGACTGTGTCTTGTTTAACTATAACAACAAGTCACACGGAGATACGATATAGCGTGATATTTAGTCATTTTTGACTTTAAATCACGGAGTTACAATGTAATGTATTATTTTGTCTCTGTTTCACTGTGACGACTTCAGTGGTGGGGATACAATATAGTGCAATATTTGGTCCTGTTTCACTGTGACGACTTCTGTGATGGGGATACAATAGAGTGCAATATTTTGTCCTGTTTCACTGTGACGACTTCAATGGAGGGGATACACTATAGTGTAATATTTTGTCCTGTTTTACTGTGACGACTAAAGTAGTAAGGACACAATAAAGTGTAATATTTGGTCCTGTTTTACTGTGACGACTACAGTGGTGGGGATACAGGTGTGTGTAATATTTTGTCCTGTTTTACTGTGACGACTAAAGTGGTAAGGATACAATAAAGTGTAATATTTTGTCCTGTTTTACTGTGACGACTAAAGTGGTAAGGATACAATAAAGTGTAATATTTTGTCCTGTTTTACTGTGACGACTAAAGTTGTAAGGATACAATAAAGTGTAATAGTTTGTTCTATTTTACTGTGACGACTACAGTGCTGGAGAAACAATAGTGTTATATTTTGTCACTGCTCTACTACGACCACTAGGTTGTTGGGGATACAGTATAGTGTACCATTTTGTCCTATTTTTCTCGGTCAAAGGATCAGTTTGGTGTAATAGTTTGCCCGGTTCCACAGTGAATATAGTGGCAGAGATATACCATATTTTGTAATACTGTTTTACTATGACGAATAGTCACGGAGAAATGATATAGTGTAATATTTTGCCCTGTTTTACTAAAAATCGCTGAGATACAAACAGTGTAATATTGTTTCTTCTTTCTTTTACTACGACTTCTACAGTGGTGCAGGCAGTGTAATGCTTTGTCACACTTTTACTACGACTTCTACAGTGGTGGAGGCAGTGTAATGCTTTGTCACACTTTTACTACAATGATAACTACAGTGTTTAATATATATATTTAAAAAAAAATTAGAATTTGAAACCTTCCTAAATGTATACTTAAAATCAACAGTAGTCATGTGATGGGAGTTAGGAAATTCCAGTATTTGTTGGTTGCCAGTTATAATATATTCTGGAGTTCTTTTCTAATAAGTCACCAATGTTCGGACAGTGAAGCCAATGCCTAGTCTTACCAAGCAAGGGTGGAAAATATGTACTCTTTTGTGTGCATTAAAGGTAAATTGGCAGTAATGTACACACAGAGAAAGGGGAGTAGGTACAGTCTCAGCCAGTCTAGGACAATCTACGAGGTGGTTTTTCTAGCAAAACACACTGGTCGTATCAATGAATTAATCAAGTAACAGAAAGTGTATTGATCGGCACTCATAGAAAGAAGTAGAAAGATAGAAAATAATAGCAGAAGGCATGGTACCAGGAAGGAGGGACAGGGGCCAACCAACACGAAGATGTACAAAGGATATATGTGACTCCTTCAGTGTGAAAGTACATAAGGCGGGGCGCTGGCGAGAGATCGAGTTTCTTTCAGACAAACCGTGATGAGAGCGACGTTCTGCACAGAACCTGCTATGTGATGATGATGATGATGCACTTCTTACCATTTGGATCATTGACCTTGCACTATCTGATGTCCCGTTAGCAGGTATCGGCTTGTCAGGACAACGCTGGAGACTCATAACTTGGACTTCAGCAAAACCTCTTAGCAGTACTGAACTCGCCAGATTTGGTTTCCGACACTTCTGTAAGAATATAAACTGGAGACGGCTTGTTTTCAACTAACAGACACAGCCAAACAGAAGGGGAAAAAAAGAATGCTTATTTTAAAGCTTATAAACGTGTTTGAAACTCGAAGACTCAACTTCATAATTAATCCCTTCCCTTTGTGGGATGTATTTTTCGTTATTTTGAGGCCCCCACCCTGGTTGTTGCCGGGGGCCCTAATTAAAACCTGACGGTTAAAGGGGATTTCTGGGATCTCTCCGAATGGTGGCACTTTGTGTCACCGGGTGTTAATCGCTCAGTGTGATGTCCTAGTGAGGTAAAAAGTCAGTCAACGAATCAAATTCTTTGTACCTTATTTCATGTTTTTGTATCTGGGATAGAAAAGACTGAAATACCACCATCTCCAAATTATTCCAGTGCATCATGTAGGGTTGGCAGCCATTTCTCCATTTCGCTCTGTCAGTTTAATATCATGGATGGAGTCCCGCCCAGCAACTTTGGCCTCTCTCATCAACGTTCGTTTTAGGGTTTCTTTTGTGCGTCTTTGCTTCCCCAGTTCCTCGATTTCAAACTGTAGTGCCTGTTTGGCAATTCTCTACTGGTTTCATCTCAGGTTGTCTCCAGTATAGCACCATCTTCTTTGTCCTCACTGTTGCTGGGAGTCGCCGTGGTCTAGCGTCTAGACGCTAACTTGAAGGTGGTGGGTTCGGGTCCTACTGGAGCCCTGGCATTTTTTTTTATATAAAAAAGGCTTTGATGTAAATGTAGCCTGGTGGGTACCAGGTGTATTTCTGTGTGCTATGCTGATCACATCACCCACTATGTGCCGGTTGGTTTATACAATTTAAGTCTAGCCCTACATGCATAATACGCCTAAAGCCCTGTGAAATGGACCTTTCCTTTATTTATTTTTTTATAACTTGTTACCAGATGGTGCCCGTCATTTCTCAAATTTCTTCAAACCCTTTTATGTTCAACACTTTCCTCAGACAACCTATTCTAGTGAGCAGCTTTGAGTCAACGATGTTATCAAGGTGTCACTGTATCACTTTGATGCTATTACTAAGGCAGTTTACACCTGAACATAACCAGCGTTTGTAACCCTAATTTACAGGCTTTGTGTGGTTAACTTGGGGTTGGAGCCCAAACTTTTAACTTTGGAGATCAAAGTGCTACAGTTAAACCTAATGCTGCATCTGTCCCTGCTACTTCATGATCTAATGCATACCTACGTAGAACGATGCGAACTATGATTAAGATTGTCCTATTTGATGTTTTTTTCTTCCTCTACCTGATAGACTTTTGACAGACAAACTGACATTTGTATGTATTTATGACTGTCGATGTGGAGTTAACATAATTTGTATTAATCTATACTGTTTTTACTACGACAATAATAGTGTTTTGCATATTTCGTTTTACAAATTATAATTTAGAACCTTCCAAAGTGTACAATAAAAGTTCAAATTAATGCGGGAACAGTAAAGACATTCAACTATTTGCCAGGCTCCAGTTAGAAAAAATATATTCAGGATTATTCTTCTGCGAAGTCTAACAAGATCACGATCATCGATCTTTGGATAGTAAATGGAATGTCTAATTTGTCCAGACAAGGGCCCAAAAAAAACCTATTAGAAAGAAAAAAAATCACATTTGCAGCAAAATACGGATGAATAAAGGGCAGATATGCACGGTCTCAGCCAGCCTAGGACACTCTTCGAGGTGCTTCTGTAGCAGAACCATTTTCTTACCATTCTGAACACTGACCATGCTACATGGCTGACTGCTTTCTTCCTGCAGGAAGGTTTATCACAACAGCAATCCGCATGTGAAACCCACAAGAAATAAACCTAAATATCCTGTTCAACTTTCTAAGATGGTTCAACTTTCATTTTAGAGAACATCTTCATTGCACATGAGCATAAGCGCTCCGATCTCCTCCTAATTATATGTCAAAGTGTTTTTAAGCTAACAACTCCCATTCTATTCTGGTTGATGTTACAAGGGTTGGCTCCCGCGTGGTTTTTCTGTCTTGTGGCTCCAGTTGGTACTCTCAGGGGATAACACAATAACATAACTCTTTAGTGGAGGTGTGTCGATGGAAGCACTAGCATAGAAAATCCGCAATCTTTCTCTTGATGTATAAGTGTATGATAATTTAGTCGTCCACTTCTTGGTGTTGAATTAGGAACAAATGATGTAATTCTAGATTCTTCTTTGCTCTCCTCTTCTGTCTCACCACGTGCCCAAACCAAGCTAGCTTGCGACGTTTCACCACTGCCAAGAGAGGCTCCTGATGTCCCGCAAATTTGTATATTTTGTCTCTGACATATTTGTTAGTTTTTGGTTCTAAATAATTAATTCGTCTGTAACATTTACACTCGAAAGCCTGAATCCTCCTTTTCATTTTCCACAGTGAGAGTCCAACTCCCGCAATCATACAAGAAAATAGACAATAGTTATCTGTACATATTGACCTTAACTGCGATGTTGATTTTGCTCTTCCACATCATATTCACCTGGGACATCACGGCTGTTGCCATATCTTGATCTCTTTAGCAAATGCTGCCATCGTTAAATATGGGAAAATTATAAAGGTTTCAAATTCTAGTTTTTTTCCCTTTTAATTTGTATGTTGGTAGGTACTTGATAATTATGGTTAATTACCAGAATCTTGCTTTTCTTGGTTTTAGTTCTTGTGTCAATTGGCCATTCCAGTTCGCTTGTTGGTG